ACCGGAAGGAATACATCACTTCCGCATTGGCCCCTTCGTCGGGGTCGGTGGCGTTCACCCGCAGCAGCGCGGTGCCCACAGCCGCGTCCTCGGGGACGCTCACGCGGTACTCGGGCTGCGCGAACGCGGGGGCGTTGTCGTTCGCGTCCAGGACCGTCACGCGGATGCGCGCGCTGCCAGTGCGCACCGGGTCGCCGCCGTCGGAGGCTGAGAGAACCAGGTGGTGAACCGCCTTTTCCTCGCGGTCCAGGGCGCGCTCCAGTACCAATTCTGGGTACTTGTTACCGTCCGCTCCGCTTTGAACCGCCAGGGAGAAGTGAGTATTGTTACTGAGCTCGTAGCTCTGGAGAGAGTTTTTGCCGATATCCGGATCCCAAGCGTGGGGAAGGGGGAACCGCATCCCAGTGGCTGCGTGTTCACTCATTTTTATTTCTAAGTCACCTTCCCCCGGAAGGAGGGGGCATTGTCATTAATGTCCCTCACTTCTACCACCACCCCGTATATTTTCACTTTATCCTCCATCAAGATCTCCAGATTTAGCTGACACTTTACGGCCCCCATACAGAGCTCCTCCCGGTCTATCCTGCCCGCGGTGACCAAGCTGCCGCTTCGGGGATTCAGAGCGAAAAGTTGCGTCCTACCTCCGGAGACGATGCGGACTCCGCGCTCCTGCACTTCCCGGGCCTCCAGCCCCAGATCCCTGGCGATGTTGCCCACCTTAGAGCCTGTTTCCAGCTCCTCGGGAACCGAATAGTGGATTTGGGTGCATCCAGGTTCCCACAGAATCCCCAAGAGAACTCCCAGCAGGACCAGCCCTCTGCAGTCCTGGTGCAGTCGCGCAGGAATCATTGCACTTTCCTGGAGAGTTATTTCCAGTTCTTCCCTTCACCACCGAGGTCGATGTCAGGACCGCTAGGTCCGTCCTTGGAATCCGTGGACCGGGGGACCAGAGCCCCTCCGTTCAGTTTCCTCGCAGTCCAGGGGGAGATGGTTAGTTTCTGGCTGTGCTTTGTGCTTCAGGCGCGTGCACAGCGGCAGGAAGGATCGCTCTGCTTTTCTCTCCCTGATTGGTGAACAGCGGCGCTCAGAGTCCTAACCAATTACTGCACAATCTTGAACTCCGAGAAAAGATTTTTGGTTTTTAGACCTCAAATAGCTCCACCTACTGTTCTTCAAATAGGGATGGAAGTGGAGCCGATTAAAACGATATTTTTTTTGGTTTTGTTTTAATGGAAACTTCAGGAAGCTTCTTTTTATTTCCCCCAAAAAATTTGACACAGGGCCACTGTCCTAAGATTATTTTCTGTAGCTGTAGGCATATTCTGATATTCCCATGAGCTTTCAAATGAACTTGAAATTTCTATACACAGTAATTCTATCCTTCATTGTAGTGCACCTGCGTTGACATCACCAATACCCCCCACAACATTCCTATTATGGGACATCTCCCTAGGACTTTTCCATGCTGAGAAATCATATGATAGAATAATTTAAAATTCCTCACTCAGCTATAAGTTGGGGCAAAATTTTTCATAGATTCTTAAATTTGCCTAAATGAAAGAACTGCTTAAACAGAGTGTTGACATTTACATTTAAAAACCAATCTTTCATGATAATATGGAAACCTAAAAATAAGAAATGTGATTGTACACATTATGGAAATCACTGGAAGTTTATAGTAGACACATTACCATTGAACATTTTTAGAACAAAATTGAAGCATTCCAACTTGCATTTACTGGAAATAAGGGTAGTACTCTATAATCTACTAATACATTATATTTCAAAAGAATGTGCAGGAAAATTAGTAATCCAAAGAATAATATACACTTACCTTTTTCTGGGTAACACACCTAATTCCAATTACTGATAATTATTAGCAATACATTTGGAAGCCCATTAAAATGTAAGAAAAATTCTCACTGTTGTGCTTTCGTGAATGTAAATATTTATATTCCGAGGATAAGCACGTTTGGCAGGCCGACCATAAAATACTATTTTTTTAAATTGGGAAGACATATACAGGTGAATTTGAGGGGGGGGAAGGCATAAAATTGACCTACTCACTGGGATTCAAATAATCCCTAGCAAAAGTGCCTGAATATTATAAAAATCATTCCTATGTCCTCTTTTTAAAGCCTTTTCTCATGCATTCTCCTCTTTGTAGTTAATAAAGAAAATTAAAGCAAACCATTTGCGGATGAAAGGCATTCATTGAAACTCTTGTGAGTAGAAACAACAGCGTTAGAGCTTAACTTATTATTCTCCTCAGTGACACTTACTATCGAGGATGCTTCATTAGAAAGATCTTGTGGCGGGACCATTTCTGGCGTCATAGAGAGAAAATTAAACATTGTTTTTTGAGAATCCGAGGCAACATGCATATTGTAGGAATAAGGCAAAGTTCCCTCGTTGTAGTTGGGAGAAATCCCCGGTCCAGTCTTAGTACAAAGACTATGCTGAAAGCAGCGCCAGGTAGCCAGGCTAGAGGAGCGTCGCAGGCGCACAGCAATGGCCAGAATCACCGCCAAGAGGAAGAGCACGGAGATCAAGGCCAAGGCCACCACCAGGTAAAATTGCAGCTCAGCCTGGGGGTCAGAAGGTGTGTGATGGTCGTTGAGGTCTGGCAGTGCCTCTTGAACACTGTCCGCAAAGATCAGGTGAAGCGTGGCGGTGGCAGAGAGAGGTGGCTGTCCCCCATCGCGCACAGCGACCAGCAGGCGCTGGCGAGCCGCGTCCCTGTCGCCCAAAGCACGAGCTGTGCGCACCTCGCCGGTTCGCAGCCCCAGGCTGAAGAGCCCGGGCTCGCTGACCTGCAGCACGTGGTAGGACAGCCAGGCATTGTGTCCCGAGTCCGCGTCCACCGCCACCACCTTGGTGACCAGGTAGCCCGGCTGCGCGGCGCGCGGCACCGTGTCGAAGAGCGCAGAGCCGTCGGGCCCCAGCGCCGGGTACAGCACCCTGGGCGCGTTGTCGTTGCGGTCGCCCACCAGCACGCGCAGGCTCACGTTGGCGCTGAGCGCGGGAGAGCCCTGGTCGCGCGCCTGCAGCGTCAGCTCAAAGGCGCGCAGCTGCTCGTGGTCGAAGGCGCGCTGCGCGAACACCACCCCGCTGTGCGCGCTCACCGACACGTAGGACGACAGCGCCCGTGCCTCCAGGTCGCTGGCCACGATGGAGTAGGACACCTGGCCGTTGGGTCCCAGGTCGGGGTCGGAGGCGCTGACCTGCGCGATGGAGGCCCCGGGCGGGTTGTTTTCTGGCACATGGACCAGGTAGGCTGACTGCTGGAAAACCGGGGCGTTGTCGTTGACGTCCCTGATGTATAGGGTGACGCTTCTGCTGGAGGAGAGGGGCGGCTTGCCTCTGTCGATGGCTGTGATGGTCACATTGTACTCCGGGGTCTGTTCCCGATCCAGGGCCCCATCTGTCACCAGCTTGTAGTAATTATTGGCGGAAGATTGAATTCTAAAAGGAACGTCCTCTTTTATGAGGCATATAACCCTTTCCGTTTTCTCCGGAATCTTTATCGTGTGTTTTGAACAAAGCAATCACCGTCCCGGGCTCTGCATCCTCGGTTATGGAACTAGACACCGAAGTGAACACCACCTCTGGGGCGTTGTCATTCTCATCTAGAATTTCGAGTATAATTTTACATTTGGTGGCCATGCCTCCGCCGTCCTTGGCTTCCATGATTATGGTATAACTGCTACTGATTTCGAAGTCTATAGGGTTTTTGGATTTAATTTCTCCACTTTGATGGTCTAGCGTAAACGTACTTCCAACATCTCCTGGTATTTTGAAGGAGTATGTGATCTCCGCATTGATGCCCTCATCCTGGTCGGTGGCTGTCACCTTTAGCACAGAGGTGCCTGGGGGCAAGTTCTCTGGAAGGCTTACTCTGTACACATCCTGACTGAACACTGGGGCGTTATCGTTGGCGTCAGTAACCTCAATCCTAATTTGAGTGGTGCCCGTTCTGACCGGGTCACCTCCATCCACCGCTGTCAGGACCAGGAGATGGGAGCTCTGTTGTTCCCGGTCCAGGGGCCTTTCTAACACCAATTCCGGGGCATTCTTGCCTTCAGCTTTATCCTTTACCATTAGAGAAAAGTGCTCATTATAGCTGAGTTGGTAACTCTGGAGAGAGTGAGGCCCTACATCTGCGTCTATAGCAGATTCCAAGTCAAACCGAGTTCCTGGAGTTGCAAGTTCATTGATTTGTAAAACAGTGCTATTTTGGGGGAAATGAGGTGGATTGTCATTTATATCTTCTATCATCACGTTTACGTGAAAAACATTTAGAGGGTTCTCTGCTACAATCTCTAAGGGCACGACACACACAGGGTTTTGAGGGCAGAGCGATTCCCGATCTATTCTGTCACTCACAAGTAAGTTCCCATTCTCCGTGTTTATGGCAAAGTATTGTTTCTCTGCACTAACTCTGAGGTTGCGGGTCAATAAATCCCGTACCCGCAGCCCCAGGTCCTTAGCGAGATTCCCCACTACAGAGCCCCTGGCCATTTCTTCCGGAATAGAGTAGCGGATCTGCTCGGAGAGCGCCCCGCAGAACAAAGGCAGCAGGAAGAGAAAGAGTACTTGCCACCGCCGCGGGGTCCTGCTCCTCTGCTTAGCCCTGGTTCCCATCCTTCCGAGCCCTGCTGCAGCCTCTGGCATTGAGAAGATGCTTTCTTTACAAATTGTGTTTAAATATCTACTTCCACCGCGTAGAAAACTCAAGGCTCCCAGTTTGAAGGCATCCCAGTCGGTATTCCGGAATCAGATTTGCCGAGCAGTGAGCCGGAGTCCGGACCCCTCGCCTTTCTACTTGCTTTTGTGACTGCGCAGAAAACACCCGGTGGATCCTGGACTCCAGCTTTTGCAGCAGTTGGCCAACAGCGGCGCCCAGAGTCTGCTTAGAAAACTGCAGGCAGAAGCCTTGCAAATAATGGGATTCGGTATTCCAACAGCTATGTTGGACTGATGTCTAGGAAAGGAGGCAATTAGTGCGTTTTGGATGTGTCTGTTTTCCAGTGTTTACTTCAAAAGAAAGTTCCCTAGAGATAGAATCCTATAGAAGAGCCATAAAACCACCATTGAGAAAAGTTTGTCTTTTTCAAATCAGAGGCAGTGCAGATATTGGAAGAACAAAGCAAAGTCTCTCCAGACTTAGAACAAAGACCACGTGAGAAAATAGCCCCACCAAGTGGTATGGGGAAATTTTGACAGCCATGAAATGACACCTAGTATTAGATTCAATCTTATGTGCAGATTAATTTCCCTCCTCCATTTATCAGGAAACTGGAGGAGCGCTTAAAGCTATATAGGTTGTACTCAGGATAAGGATGGCCAATGACATCAAGTCTTCCTTGTTACTTATAAAAGAGATTTATGAAAGGGATCATTAAGTATTTTACACTTACATCATAAACAATATAAAAGAATACCCTAGTAGGTCACCATAGGACTTTAATGTCATGAAATGTGAGGGTGTTTTATTTGTCCTTTTATTTAAATGGACCATATGT